TCCTTGAGGCTTCGTGAGCAACTACTGATATGCTTAGCCATCCATCAGGAATAGGCTGGCATCAGTAAGCTGCCAGAATTATGTTCTACAAAAGTACACATTTCTCTAGCTGTGAGGCTTATCAGGACCTTTTGGAAGACCTTGGGGATAGACAGTCTATGGTAATACCATACAGTGAAAATGATCGCTCTTTTCAGAAAACACAGTGGTGTGTTGGACAAATGTTACAAGCATATTAAAATTAGAAATGTCAGACTCTAGGGATTCTATCAAGTATCCCAATTTCTTTTATTATGGAATAAAGAAAACTCATTTAAAAGTATTTTTAATTAAGTACAAAATGGAAGTAGCCCTGCTGATCTTTGATTCTATAAAATGTCAGTAATCTTCCCAAATTATCATACAATGAAAAAATATTTTACATATTCTCAGAATAGCACAAGATATTCAGGTTTCCAGAGTTCTAAAGAAAAAGATAATTTGGATTTTTGTAGACAATTAGATATTATTAATTACACTTAATATTTAGAGTATACGTCACAGAAGTAACTAACAAATATATTACCTCAAATAAAGCAGAGATTTAGTTTCACTAGTTTTAAATTTAACTTGGCAATCTTTCAGAGTCTTAGATGAAGTTTTCAAAGAATGCTTTAACTACAGGACGACAGATGAACGAACTCAGAATGAGGAAATGTAGACAAATTACCTACTTCAACTGAATGGGTGAGCCTAGGCTGTTTAACTGAGATCTCCAAAACCTAGCTAAGGTGTCATCCAGATGACTGCCATATTTCATTCCAAGAATTCCTGCTTGCAACCCACCCCTGCACAATTCATCATTCTACTATTAAAGCGACCTTAACTGACGCCCTCTCTGACGAATGCATCTCCACTGAGACCTACAGGAGCCTTGATTTAGACTCTCAGGTCCGGGTCCATAAACCCTCCTCCTCTCCAGTTTGATGCCTCAAACACCCTCCCACACATCCTTTTACCAACCACTCCTAAACCCAAGGTTCCTTCCATTTCCTACTAAGGATTTAAGAGTTCTTTCTTCCTTCAAGCAATGCCAAAAATGAGATCTTCTCCACAAAGGTTACCTTAAAAAAAGTTTTTCTAAATTTTACTCTCAAAATAAAAACCTTCCATGAGTCTTAGTCACGACTCAATAATATGTGCTTTCTCAGTATTTGCTTAATATTGTATTTTTAATTTACTTCCTTCCCAAACATCTACTTTTTCAACGTGTTGCCTCCATGACTATAAAAATACAGACTAAGATTGTTAGCGTCCACAGGTCTGGCATCAAACACTAACTCACGTGCAATAACACATAATACAATGAATGCCATGCTAGATCAAGTATAAATATTTAATAAATACTTCTGCTGCTGAGCATCTGAATTCTAGATTCTCTCTCTATTAGTTTGGCAGTTTTAAAGGTCTGATCCTTCACACCTTGAGATAGCCTATAAACGTCATTGTAAGGAGACAGTACAATCTGGTGGTTCTGAGTGGGCTCTGGAGTCAGAAAGTTTAGGATCAAATTCCAATTCCTGTCATCTTGAGCAAGCTACTTAAGCCCTCTAAGCTTTTCTTGTGTGTAAAATAAAAGACAATCCAACATTATCTACTCCAGAAAGTTATTATTAAAATATATAATGTATGTAAATACCTGTGTGTGCCTGGAACACAGCAGCACTTAATGTTACTAAAGTTTAAAAAGACATTTCCTTTAAAAAACTTTGCTGCAGAATGCATGCAACATTCAAGCGGAAAAAACGTTCATTTCTATACTTTCATGTAAGTGCAAAGGAAACCGGTTGAAATAATCTTCTCTAAAATAACAATGGTTATTATTCCCAGAGATCAGGTAACCATACCTCCTGGTTTGCCTAGGATAGCTGATTTACACCTGTTATCTCAACATAAATAATAGTCTCCACCAAGCCCCTTCACTCTCAAATAACCTGGTTCAGATATAAAATATATGGTCGACTATGCTGGTTATTAAGCTATTTTTTTTTCCCACAACTCCAAACCACAATTCTATACTCAACTGTGTAATACTGGGGTTGGGACTGTGTAAACTACATTTCTCCTTTCCCAGCTGAATTTTTGTTAGGTTCAACTAATGGGAAGACTAGATGAGTGAAACAGGAAGGCAGGAGGTGGTAAGACTCTTGCTGTTTCCTGTTTATTGTTCCTGTGAGCATCCCCAGGGCAAAAGTTCCTTTCAGCAGCTCCAGTGGCTTGGTTCCAGCCTCCAGCTTTTTCTCGGCATTCCCCATCAATACCAGCACCAGAGGCCCACCCCATGGTCAAGTGGTTAAGTTCACGTGCTCCGCTGCAGCAGCCAGGGTTTCACTGGTTCAGATCCTGGGCGTGGACATGGCACCACTTGATAGGCCACATTGAGGCAGCGTCCCACATGCCACAACCAGAAGAACCTACAACTAAGATATACAACTATGTACCAGGGGGGACTTGGGGGGATAAAGCAGAAAAAAATAAAAAAAGATTGGCCACAGTTGTTAGCTCAGGTGCCAATCTTTAGGAAAAAAAAAAGAAAAAAGGAAAAATACCAGCACCACCTACCAGTGCCCTCTCCTCAAACATCTCCGAGTCCCTGCTCTGCAGGACCTCTCCTCCAAGCTTCTAGTTTCTAGTAATCACAACCTCTACCTTCTGTTCCCTCAGCTCTAGAGGTGGTGGCTGCTTCCTGAAATTACCTATCTTAGTGTTCCCTTTCTGATTTTTTGGTTTTCCAGTACCATTTTAACCTGTTCCTGATATTACACTCTGTTAAAATATCCCACTGTGCTCTTCCTCCTTTCTGAAGCCTAACGGACACTGATACTATGCAGAGGAATGGAAATAGGATTGAGGGTGAAAAAGAAAAAAAAAGAATTCTTGCCTTTGCTTTATATAATGTCTTTATTTATTACTCACGTAATTTAAATTACATATTTTAAGTGATATTTGAAATCATTTTGCCTTCCTCACATTGCAATGTCTTCAAAACACTGTAAACAATCCTTTTCAAGAACACATCACTAGTAAATCCCTGAGAGAATTCACTTCCAGAGACTAGCATCAGATGGATGGCTTATGGAGCTGAGGCCATTAGTCACTCAACTGGATAGTCTACTCACCTTGCTGTTTGCTGATGTAAGGCCATTAACACCAGCACAGCAACTAAATTAGAAAGTCTTCCATTAGAAGTGCTGCATGAATTTCCGGCAATAAAGGATTAAATAAGTCTAGGACAGTACCTACAACACATTGAGTGCAGAACAAATAGGTTGCTTTCCTCCCCATCCCAACTACCTACCTCCAGACTCTAAATAAGAGCTGCTATTAGGCACATAGCTTCTTCAGAAAGTAGGCTTTGTTGGCTTATAACAAACGTGAAGGAAAAGGTCCTAGCTGACAAATCTCAAACTATCAAAGCTTACCAGGACACCAGAACAGCAATGCACTAGGCAAGTTTAGCAACTAACAGACATTTTCTTACATCATGAAATGCCACTGCATGATAAATATGACTTATCATGATAAATATGACTAATAACCACCTCCAACTCCCTCTTTTTTAAAGCAAATTCTCTGCTTTCTTCTACTGCCACCTCTACTTGCAAATTTTATCTACTCTACAGTTTCTGATTAACTCTGGAAAGAACCTGAGAATAATTCACATCCGTCTGTAGGAGAAAGCTACCACAAACATAAAGAGCTGAGATGAGCACTCTTCCCTCTCACAGTAAGAACAGAAGAAACAAAACTGCTGGTATCTCAAGGAGTAAGTATTCCTATTAAGAATAAAGAAGTTATCTCTATAAGTGACAAAAAGTAGCTTGAGTTATTTGTTCCAACAAAGTGACAGAAGACTAGTAAGCCTAGATTTATATGTGTTTTATTCTTCACTTTCTTTACTCTTCAATTTCTCAGAAATCAACTTATTTTGTGATCGAGCCATAGAAGGCAATTCATCAGTAAGGGTGATAAAAATTTTTAAATTTCAAAGTCTATTTGTTGCCATGAATATTGTTACAACTGTGAACACTGATTTCATACTCAAAATTAAATTTTAATATGATGAACAATTAACTTGCTACCTAGATAACTGTTTGAAACATTACCACTATTATATTATTCCCTACTGATTTTTTTGTTAAATCTCTAGTGGATAACTCTTTATGTAATACTCCATGAGGCTCACAACATTTAAAATGCCTCAAATTATTACTGTATTTTAAATTTAAACAAGAAATCTAAAAAAGATCACTGAAATAAGTCAACTTTCTTCCTGGAGAACCCCTACCACAGGAACCAGATTATTAGTGAAGGATCAGTATAGGTAACATTTCCCTATGATCTATCTCCCATAACCACTTGTTTCCCCCTAACACACACTTCTACAAGGCAGAAGAGCCCACCTGTAAAGTCTGTCTCTACTGTTTCCTGGTGAATCACACAACGTTCTTTATAGAGGTAAAACATAGCCTTAAGTGATTTCTACGGCTTACAGTTTTCCATTTTCATCACTGTGACGTTTAATTGAGTGATAATTATCTCAACAGATCAAAATTCCAAAATTTAAATCTTTCACTTTGTCAAGAAGTTAGATGATTCAAACTGTATTCAATTAGTTTAAGAAGGAAATACCCAGATTTAACTGTCATAACTTACGTTAAGATACCAAAAGTGTTATAGAACATAATGCACGAGGATAAATGGATTTATGTGCACAATACTTTTTCCCTGCAAACTAAAAGACGCGACTCTCAAAAAAGGAATTATGCCTATATTGAGTCATCAACTTGTATTGAAACATAAAATGTCAAATTTTTAATGGAAAAATGTGCTATTCTATTGCTATTTGTATTTCAATTTTTGTTTCTGAAACCAGTAGTGTAAGAGAAAAGATTTAAGAAAGATACTATTGAGGGTTAACAGATACTTGGAATCAAAATAAAACAGAAAATTTACCAAACTTTAAAATACTAAGAAAATAAACATTTTATTAATGAAAAGTCTGAAAAACATGTGCACCGAAACAAGTGACTACTAAAATGCTGAATAAAAAATCTTCAAAGAAATGTCTACCACGATTCAATTTTTCAAACTTTTTATATATAAAAGCTATATTATAAATACAAAGCTAAACTATTACAGTACTAACAATACTGTTTATACAAAGAAACTTAACAGTAGTAAAATATGAATACATAAGATGCTTATTTTTGGTCCTTTTGGAAAAAAGAACTAAGTTGAGTTTTTTTTTAACATGGCTCCAGGCACAAAAATAGAATTTAAGATGATAACTGCAACATTCTTAGTGCTTATCCTTGTAATTCTTTAAATGTCACCAGTCATAATAGCAATGAACTCCTCTTGATTTACTGTGGTAAGAAAGAAAATGTAAGTCAGAAAGAAATTGTAAAAATACAAGTTTTTTCAGAGAACAATACTTAGTATTTTACAATAAATATCTTTAAATTTTATATTATACAAAATTCTTAACAAACCAAGGCATGGCCTTTTGCTTTTAATATTTTGCTAGGAAGTTGAATATATTTATTAAATAGAACTTTATGAATACAAAAATATATAAAATGTAAATAATATAAATTAGTATTCTATAATATTAACTAGGAAAAATACATAAGTTACAAAAAAGTCCATCTTAATCATAACATTTATACACACTTGTCAAAATAGTTCTAAAAGCTTGCCAATTTTCATTTCTTAGATGGTTAAACCCTCTTTATAATTTTTATTCTACTAGTTCATTCAGCAAACCCTTCCTTCATAAATAAGCTTAAATATACCATGCAAGTTAGAATTCTAAAGGACAAAAATATATTAGAATTAGAAAAAAGGGCAAATTGCTGTTTTTTTAAACTTTTATTTATTTAAAAGCCTATTTTAAAGAAAAACTAATTGAAGCCAGGTTACCATACCTCAAAAGTATCCAGAGAAATAGTAACTTTAAAGGATATGGATTTAATCTTAATTACCAAGGTAATACAGCAACTATAAAATATAGACGTAATTGCAGAAAGTAATCACCGATAAAGACTAATTGTTAGTTTACCGAAATTATGAACAAAATTCAGTAAGAACTTCCAGTTTGTAAACATAATGTTTAAGGAAGCAATCTAGAATAGGTGATAACCTTATTAAGTATAATTTTTAAAAACCAATATACACACACACAAATTATTAATAGAAATGTTCAGAAAAGAACGTTTCCTCTTTGTAAAACAGGTGAATTCATGGGCCCCAAGACTTAACAAAAACCTTAACAAGGGAGAAGTTATGAATGATCATTTTGATGATAACAATAACACTACAATGAGAAAAAGCAGACCTAAATTCCTAAATTTAGCAGAGCAAAAGTCATAGTTCTGACACAAACAGTTCTGCATCTCAATTTCTTCAGAAAATACTGAACTATGACAGGATCTTTTACGTTGTTGCTGTCTTCAATACCCTAGCTAGTAATATACAAAGACTCTCCATTGAATCAAACATTGTTAAGTGCCTACTGAATACCAAACCATACTAGGAGTTCCGTAATATATCAAAACAGACACAAGGTTCCTATTCTAGAATATCCTGAAGTTGAATAAAATATTAGGTAATATTATAAAATTATTGTTAATTTTCTTAGGAGTAACAATGGTATCATAGTTATGAAAGATAATATCTTTATTCTTAGTAGATGCATGCTAAAATACTAGGGGGGTCAAGTTCATGATATATTTTTCAAATGATTCAGAAAAATATACATGTACTATAGATAAAGCAAATATAATAAAATGTTAATTATTGAATCTAGGCAGAAGATATAATGGTGTTCACTGTACTAGTCTAACATTTTTTCCTCTATGTCTCAGAAGATTCATAACGAAAAGTTAGAAAAAAATTAACCAAGCAAAAAATGTTGAGGACATAAAATATGTACCTCAGGAATGAAAAAGGTCTACTGGTTCCAGAAAACCAGTTTCCATAATTATGTTAGTCACAATTTATACCTGAGAACAACTGCTGTATAACACAAAACATGATCTATTATTAAAATAAAAATCATGGGGCCGGCCCGGTGGTGCAGCAGTTAAGTGCGCACGTTCCGCTTTGGCAGCCTGGGGGCCACCGGTTCAGATCCCAGGTGGAGACATGGCACCGCTCATGAAGCCATGCTGTGACTTCCCACATACAAAGTAGAGGAAGATGGGCATGGACGTTAGCTCAGGGCCAGTCTTCCTCAGCACAAAGAAGAGGATTGGCAGATGTTACCTCAGGGCTGATCTTCCTCAAAAAAATAAATAAATAAATAAATAAAAATCACATATCAGTATTAAGAAAAATCCACAACAATGGGAAAAATCATTACTGATGAGAAAAACTTAGGGAAAAATAAATCTTGACCTGGGCTCGAAAATAAAAATATAGGATTTGGTTTGACAGGAGGTAGAAAGAAAGCTAAGGTAGGAGAACACCATCAGAAACATAAATAAAGAAAATAGTGCAAAAATAAGCTATAAGGAGTTAAGAAGATGAGCTGTCCAGAAGCTGATAAAGAACCATGAATCCATGCATCTAATATTAAACATCTACAAGACACTACAACAGACACAGTAGAACAGAATACAAAACCTAAACTACTCAAAATACTTTCAATGATCTTACAAATTGTAGTAGTGATCTTTAAACTTTGTAGTTAAATGAACATGTTTCAACATCTTATGAAAGCTATGATCCCTCTCTCTGCCCAGTTAAAAAAAATTAAAATACAAAAAAATTTTAAATAATTTCATCCTTATGCAATCCAAAAGAGTGGAGAGCTGAAGAGAAGAAAGTGGCTAAGGAAATCTAACTTCTTTATTACCAGTGAGTCTTTCAGACAATTAAGAGGATCTATGATGACCTTTGTACATTTGGCTTTATAACATTCTCTATCAACAATCTTATATCAAGTTTCTATATCTAATAAACCTAGCACAATGCTTACCTTAAAATAGGCATTTGATAAAATATTTATTGAATCAAACAAGTATGAAACTTCATTTTCTTCTACAGTACCTTTGTTAACAAAATTTTCATAAATCACTCGTTTCGTATGTTAAATCTTATTACGTCATTAAAATAAAGAATTTTAGAGAAATTAAGTAAATTAAGTACCTTAGAGACCATCTGGCTTCGAAAGGGAAAAAACAAATTTTAGCGTCTGAAGTGCCAGTTGAATATTTTACTAATATATTGCTTCCTATAATAGTATGCAATTTTTACAACTCCATAAACATAGAAATCTAATTAATATTTTACTGTATAGCACTAGAGGCAATACAGTGTTACGGTTAAAAGCAGCTTCTTTGTCGTTCCGGACATCTGAGTCTGAGTTCTGGTTCTGCCATGTATGAGTTCCAGACATCTGAGTCTGAGTTCTGGTTCTGCCATGTATGAGTTCCGGACATCTGAGTCTGAGTTCTGGTTCTGCCATGTATGAGTTCCGGACATCTGAGTCTGAGTTCTGGTTCTGCCATGTATGAGTTCCGTGACAACCTTAGCTTATTAACCTCTCAGAGCTTTAGCGTCCTCCTCTATACACGCATCTACCCTACGTGCGAATGAGTACAATATTTTATTTACTTCACAAAAGCTATTAGGAAAATTAAGTGACAATCTACAACATAACGTGAAAGAATCTAACATATAGTAACTACTAAATATATGTTAACACTCATCAAAATTATTTAAAAGATGGTCTACTTTGGCTTTTTTAATGCTGCTTCCATTTTTCCAAAAAGATTTACTGTGTCTTATTTTATATATCTTGAGAGGAATGGTGGAGAAAGGATTCTTTCTATATCATTACCACAGCTTTATTTATATTTTGTATTGTATCTCTTCCTTTAACTCCTCATTCACCATGTTTATTATTCTATATACAGAAAAGATAAAATATTTTCATTGTTCTTAAATACTGAAGTGTGAAAAATTCATAAAGATAGAAGATTTACTAAAGTTCACAAAAAAAGCAGCAAAGTATTATGATCTTTACCAGTTTATCATATACAAAGAAAGCAGGTTATATCTAAACAAACCTCTGCAGCTGAAAGAATCCAAATTAAGTGATTAGACTAACAAGTTAATATAAAATGTAACTTCCTACTTTTTCAAAAATGGGCAGATTTTCACATAGCTGCAGAGACCCATATAAGTTAAGGCAGAATCCCAAAGCCAGACTAAACAGATTAGAGTTGTGGTTCTCATTGTTTCTGAATGTGAAAATGCCTTTAGACAGTAATTTTCTGGACTTGCCACAATAGCAGGTATTCTTAGTTTGTCTTGTTTGAGAAATAGATAATGTCAAAAAGCTACTATGAATTCTGCAAAATAAGTATATTTATGAATCACAATAGCATTGACAGATATAAATGAGAAATAGTAGTATATGTATCATGTGCAATACTATTATTCATATATACTACAGACAATATTTGATGCATGCAGTACATGAATTCCCAAACCCTGTGCAGTACCTTAGAAGGTCCCTACCCCTAGAGACCCACATCCCAGATTATAAACTACTAGATTAGACTACTTTAATATGATAAGACCACACTTCTCCAACCAAAAAGGGACAAATCTTAACAATACGAGACTATGCATCAGCTATATTTTACTTGTAATCAACCACTTGGGAAAAAAAGAAAAAAATATTATTTGCCTGTTAGTTATCTAAATAAATGACAGTAGAATGCCCAAGCAACAGTTGTACAGTGACTTAAAGTGGAGTAATGCAAGCAGTGAAGACCAAAGAAATGTTTTAAGGATGCACTAAAATAAATCTTCAAGTAATGGAGCACAGGTGTGAACTCTGAGATTCAAAAGTAGCAGACAGAGCAGTCTAACAAGGGATGCAAGATACGGACACGTTTTTTAAGCAAAGTTTCATACCAAGTTTGAATTTAAGAGGCAGCTTTCTGATATTTTCTTCTAATGTGAAATGAAGCTAATAACTAAAATCTAATTTGCATGTGCCAACTACAGAAAAAAAATAGAACTCTGATCTTTAGACAAACAGAGTAGCTGTTATTAAAGATTTATGAAATAGACACACCAAGATTCTCTGTGCCACTGAAGATAGTACCTTTACAGAACAGAGTTCTTTTACAGCTAATTTAGAGTAATAATCAACAGCTAGGGAAGCCACAAAAATCTTAAAAATATTTTTTTAATTTAATTTAAAGAACACAGTAGATTCTAAGTCCAAATATTAGAATGACAGCTTAAGAAATCATTTCATTTTCCTCAAGTTTTAATCATCTCTGTTTTAAAATATGAATAAGTATATCAGTACACTTTCAAAGATCTAGTATTAAAAAACAGAAAAGTTTTATAATGCTCAAATAATATTCACATAAATATAAGGAGAAAGACAATACTGCACAACTCTAAAGGACAATCTACAAACCTGAACTAATAGCTAGTTGCTACTGTCTTACCTTTTTATTAAAGCATGCCAGTATTTCCGAGGCAATATATATATGAATATATTTATGTATATATGTATAGCTGGTACTGTATCTACTGTATATATCTATTGTAACACACACTCCTGCTCAGGGCTTTAAGTCAACATTAGAGCACTCAACATGTTCAAGAAAATGCAGGGAAATATAAAGATGAGCAAAGACCAAAAAAATAAAGGAAAATAAGCTTATATTTAATGCTAGGCACTTTCGATTATCTTCATTTAATACTCACAACTACCCTGGAAGGTATTATCATTCTCATTTTTATAAATGGGGAAACTGAGACTCGGAAAACATTGAAAACTTGCACAAAATTACATAGCAACTAAGTAAGTGGTAGAGATTCAATTCAAATCCAGGTCTGTATGATTCCAAAGCCTCAGGCCTTTCACACTGTATGATTCCATCCTGCTCTTAAGGGGCTTACAATACAGCTGGAGAGGTACGCATGTATATAACTAACAGAAGGCAGTACATAAAAGTGTCAAATAGTTTGCTGCCCTAAATGCTATGGGCCTTCAATGGAAGTCTCATAATTCATATAAACAGAGATCTTTGTGGGAGGCTCTTGAGAAAAAGATAGCATTTAAAACGTACCTGAGAGAATGACTAATATTTTAAGCAGACAGAAATTCACAATTAGAGCATTCTAGGATTAAGGAAGGGCATAATGAAAGGCACAGTGTAAAAAAGTGTTTTCAGGATAGAGTGTATTTTGTCAAACTGTGTATGCATGGGAGGCGAGGGTTAAAGGAGAAAAGTGGAAGACCACAATGAGAAAGAAAACTGGATACTTAAGGTAGGACAGCTCATAGAAGGCTCTGAATTTTGCAGAAGTTGAAGAATCATTCTAAGTTGCTGAATAGGGAAATGACATCATCAAACCTGTATTTTAGAAAAAGAATGCTATCAATAGACTCAATTAGGAAGAGAGTAGAGGCTTACAGGCATAGAGCACAATTAGGAGGCTATAAGAGACTATAAAGTCAATGAGGGCAGGGACCACATCTGCCTTTTTCATTGTGTAGGACCAGCCAGGACATAGGACACTGCATCCAGCTGGCATCCAAGGAAATAAGGAATGAGGCTATGATAACATTCCTGCAAAGAAATTAGGGCCTGAACTAGGACAGCAGCAGTAAACAAAGATATAAAACAGATTCAGAATGTCTGAACAGTAGGATCAACAGAAGTTAGTAACAGCTTAGAGGTGCACGCAGGTTGAGGAAGAAGGCATTAAAGGCTGAAATTTTAGCGATGTTTCATCCTCAAAGAAAAGTAAAGCACCTTCTTAAATTGTGGAACCTCATATTACAATATTTATAGTTGGTTTTAAAGATCTACTTCATTCTAAATTGAATATGTGAAATATTTATGCAGAATGTCCATTACAGATGACCAACAATTACAGTAAATGAAGACAGTTTGCAAAGGGTCTTGAAAATCATTTGGTTTTAGGAAAATTTACTGTATGTGTACATTAGGAACACTTGGAATATATGTTTTAATCAAAACTTACTTTCTCCATCACCATCTTTATCAAATTCTTCTATCATAGCCCGAAGTTCTTCATCACTCATGTTTTCACCCAATTCTCTGGCAACACGTCGCAAGTTTCTCAAGCTTATTTTACCTGAATCATCATCATCAAATAGTTTAAATGCCTTCAATATTTCTTCATGTGGATCTCTTTCCAATATCCAGTCTGTCACTACAGTTAAAAAAATAAAAGATAAAAAGTAAACCTTTATAATCACAAAAGCATTCACTTGTGAAATCAAGTATTAGATGAGAATTAAAACTGTGAATCTGTCAACATTTAGTTTGACAATAAAATACCAAATCAATGCCCAAAAACCCAAAGAGATAAACCTGAAATTAGAAAAACCAAGTCCATATTTTAAAATTTAACCTAAGGTTTAACAATTCACCCTATTATACAAGTAAGCAAAACTATATTACACAGAGGCAAAATAAAAAGGACTATATTTATACCATATTTATTTAAAGTCTACTATTACCAAGAATTGTACTAGGCTCCACTGACACGTCTAGGAGTTGGTAACCTAGTTATAGAGATAACATACCAACAAAACAATTAAAGCTAACTCAACAAAAGCTGTTTGCGGGCTAAACTTAACAGTAACACTGATTGTTCCTCAAATTTAAACCAACTTGAAAATAAGCAAAAAGACCCCGACAGGGGCTAGCCTGATGGCATAGCGGTTAAGTTTGCACATGCCACTTTGGTGGCCTGAGGTTTGCTGGTTCGGATCCCAGGTGTGGACCTACACACCGCTATCAAGTCACGCTGTGGCAGGCATCCCACATATACAGTAGAGGAAGATGGGCATGGATGTTAGCTCAGGGCTAATCTTCCTCAAAAAAAAAAAAAAAAAAAAAAGACCCTGACAAATTAACAAAATGCATTGCCATCACTAATATAGACACAATCTCAGACAGAAGATGAAAATTCCACTGATATCTTCATGATCAGAAGAAACTCTTGGTTTTCCAAAATATGAAAAGTAGTTATTACAAGAACTGAATCTGATTGTAGTAAGAAAGTAAAAAAGAAGTCTGGAAAGGAGATCTCTCTAAAGTCACGTACATTTTGTTCAGCAAGCTAACTCTCAGACAATTAACCAAAATTAAACGTAATTGCACACTTCAATAGTGATGATATATTGTAATATACTAAATGCAATACCATATAACAATATAGTAAACTTAAATATTTTCAATATTACCACAATTTTTAATCAATAGCCACAATAACAAAAATTGAAATAAAAATCTGTGGTATAAAATTTTTTAAGTTACTAGACAAAATTCTGAAAATATCTAAGTAAACATCTCTAAAATAATTCTACATGCTAGTCTTCCACTACAACAAAAAGTATTTATCACTTTCACTGTCATTAAGAATAACTCAGTCCTGGTGAGGTTTACAGAATCATTAAGAACTTGCAAATGCTTGTAGATGGAAAGTAGTAGAATGCTAAATGCATCAAAAGGAAAAATACAATTCAAGTCCCCCATAAATTATTTTTGTTTTGCTGCTGCTTCATCCTATTTGGTTGAACAAGCTTTAGAATAAGCACCTATTTGCGTTAATGTTAAATCATCTACATATATATTCAATAGTTTCCTTTTATCCATTAATTTTATCCAAAAAGTCTTCCAAGTAACTAATTGAAGTATATTACTATAAGTATGCAAATCATCAAAGCTCATAAATATTCAGTCAAAAAGGAGTTGGCATATATACAGCCCTAACACCAAAATAAAATACCACACTTAACTCTATGGCTCTTACTCAACTTATTTTGAATTTAGTCCCAACAAAAAAGCAGGACAAGGAAAAAAAAGTGTTAAGAAATTTTCTTCACCAATTAAATAATTTACATGACAGGTGAACCAAAAAAGCAGCTTGCTGAAAGTATTAATGTACTTAAAGAAGCAACAGGGTGATCTGGGGAACAGATGGGGCTCCAAGATGTATAAATTCTTATCCCACTGGTGCTTTAATTGTGTTAGTTACTTCAGACTTATGTGTCTATATAATCTTTTATCAATCCTTTGCCTTAGAATGCAACTTTTCTTGGAAACTATAAATACCCATCATTCTGGACAGCTAAAACATTATAACAAAAAAAAAATTATGACTTTATGGTGACTCTCCTCTCTGCTTTCATGCTCTACTCCTGTTCTACAAAGTAGAATTTAATTATAAGAAATACCTCTTTTTTTCAATGAAAATAAGTCAACTGACTGACAGGCAGTGGAGGTGGGTTCAATCTATTTCACAAATTTCTGTCCCTGTAACTCTATTTCAAATAATTTAATTATACTATTAGAAATGTACTTCCTCAAAACAGTTAGACTTTACACCTTATAAAAATCACTTAAGGGGCCAGCCTGGTGGCACAGCGGTTACGTGCGCATGCTCCGCTTCTCGGCAGCCCAGGGTTCGCCGGTTAGGATCCCAGGTACAGACATGGCACTGCATGGCACACCATGCTGTGGTAGGCATCCCACATATAAAGCAGAGGAAGATGGGCATGGATGTTAGTTCAGGGCCAGCCTTCCTCAGAAAAAAGCGGAGGATTGGCAGTAGTTAGCTCAGGGCTAATCTTCCTCAAAAAAAAAAAATCACTTGAGAATACAGCAAATTAAAAAATACCACATTAAAATTTTATCAAAAATTATTCAAGGTAACTAGAAATATAGCTTTAACTATATTTCTCATTGCCTTTTGGAAGTTTCTAAACATAAAGTTACTTTAAACTTAACATTTTGGAATCCAAATTTCTCCCACTATCACCAAGATAACTGTTGATGCCCCGCCTCAAAAAAGATAACAGCACCATTAACAGATAGTTTCCCAAATTGTAAAAGTCTGAACATTTTCAATCTCATAAACCTAATCAGTGATTAGATCCTACAGTACCGAGGATACTACCTTTTTTACTCTTAAATGGACCCTTTTCTTTTCATTCTCACCACCCTCAGCATAAGAAGTTTATTATTTTCCACCTGCAGTCTCTCTCCCTCCAGCTCATCGTTAATACTCTCAAGAAAGTTACCTTTCTGAATCATATCATCACCTCTTCCTTAAAAATTGACAATGATCCTCTGGTAACTAAAGTCTAAACTCTACATGTTATGCAAGACCTTACCTATCTGGCCCAATCCTACCTTTCCAGTCATTTCCCTATCCTCTAGAGCAGGGACTACGTGAAGTTTCCCAGACATGCTATACTTCTGGTACCACTTCTTTTAAGTAATCCAAAAATAACTATATATTATTCTTATATCATGATCCATATAAAGCAGTATCATTGACTTAGAAAATTAATTTAATAAAAACAAATCTGAATATATGTACATTCTATGTATAATACTCTAGGCAATATTATAACTTGTTATAATAGCAAAGTCCTTGCCTTCCAGAAACCTCTATTCTAAAAAAGTCTGATAGATATATACACACACTACAAATAATTCACTAAAATCAACCATACAAAAGTTCAACCATATTAAGCCCATGACACATCATCTTCAGTTGGTTGTTCTAAAATGTTTTCTCCTGCTTCCAGTCTGCCAATGCCTCCCTGACCACAATCCTCTCCCCACCAGCAACTTTAAACAGATGACTTTATTCACTGAGCCAAGGTCATCCAGGGTATGTCGGCCCTCGTAAGATCTATCAACCTGAAGGCATGCACTTGAACCACAGCCAAAGACACCAACTGCTGAAGGTTTCCTCTTCTCCCACTTTGCCAACAAAAACCATCTATCAGAATGTTTTGGGAAATATTTTCCAAACGAAAGCATACCAATTTTTCTGTTTTACTGTGAGAAAATTTTTGATCACCCTTTTAATTTTATCACATAATATAAACACATTACTTAGAAAGACATCTTTCCATAAAAAGCTATACAATAGTTTCTTGGTTAGAATCTTCAGGACAAAATAAAAGACAAAATGATAAATCCCACAGGAAAGCTGTAAATCTTGTTTTTTCTTTGAAAATCAGCAAAAAGGTTTTCTTTGAAAATCTCCCCAAAAAAACCAAGTAAGATCCACATTATACAGCAATGTTCAATAACAAAATTCCGTGACCCAAAGAATTTAAAAAAATACTGATATTAACTAGACAATTTCCTAACAACTGCTAATTACAAAGACTATTAAAATACACACCAACTTCATTAAAATCTTCAAAGGTGATTTTCCCTGTGGCTTCTCTGTCATAATCTTTAAGAATCTTCAGTACATCAGCTTTTTTTACATCAAATCCCAAGGCTCTCATTGCCACCTTTTGGATTAAAAGGGAAAAGCAAATTACAAAGCACTCTTTCAAAAGAAGTGATTTCCAATTTTTAAATAAATGTTTACAACTTAAGAGATGACAACACATTAACAAAACATAATTCTTTTGCATGTTTTATGTCTCTAAAATAACAAACTGATAGTTTTTCTTCACTATAGAAATTAAATGGCAATTTCTTTCCTTTATATACCCCTTTTTTAAATATAACAAACCAATCAATGAGTGTTCATAGAATATACTATACAATGCACTGACTTAGTGCACAGATAATTTTAACAAGTTATTTGTTCTCAAAGGATTATCAACCAAAATGGAAAAAAGGCATAGCGTAAATATTAAAAAGTTATACAAGAGAAGAGATAAAAAAATTAAAGTAAAAATTATCATCAGACCCTACATAATTGGTTATCAAGTAGGTAGTGTAGGGGACAGCATTTAGAGAAAGAAGAGATCTTGTTACCAGTAACAAGAAAGGAGACACATGTTACTACTTAAAGAAGTCTTACTTGGAGAGAGTCAAGATGAGCTTCAATGTACGGATGAAGTAGAGTAGAAGGGCATTTAGAAAAGGATGATTAGTATTGAAACAGACACCAAAACAAGGATCAGGCTTGAGGACAGTGAACAGAGCAGCTTACCTTACCTGAATGGGAAGAGCTCAGGTGGAAGCAAGCGGTTAGCAAATGAGAAAAGTAGGTAGTAGTAAAAACACGGACAGCATACAGTAAAAATCAAAGGAATCTGAATTTCATGCAGTGTACAATGAGAAGCCACTAAAAGTTTATGAGCAATGAACAATACAGTAAAAGAATTTTAGAAAGATGAATCTAATAGAAGTGTACAGGGTGAACTAGAAATGGAGAAACCATTTAGGAAGCTCCAGGTATGAATTAAGATCCCAAACCAAAATAATAATGATGGCAACAAATGGAAGAGACATCAAGGAAGAATTGATCAAAGCTAGGTAACTAAAAAAAAAAAAAGAAACAGAGTGAAAAAGCTACTAAAATGCTACCTTTTTCATTGTGCTAAGTGTGAGATCCCCAAACTACCCCAAGCACCAATTTTCCCTTGCATTTTTATAAATAATTCTAGATCTTAAAGTTGACATTTTTCCCTATTAGCATTGTGTCAACATCAGACATCACTTATGTTGTTTGCACCAGAGAAAATGGGTTGAGACTGTTACTAACATGTTCAAATTAAAAGACAACACTCCCCCAACCTGGAAAAAGAATGAGTCACCAGAAAAAAAAAAAAAACAGTGGGAAGAATACAGTAAGAACTGTTTAAATCCTATAGTTTGAAATCTTTTAATTATGTGAATGAAAACTAAGTCCCTCCATAGGAATGTATTTTTACATTTAAAATACTACTTACTTCACCATGCAAAAAGGAGTTTCTAAGAAGACAGAGGAGAACTATTCAATTTTATTATAGCACTTAACTGTGAATATTTAAAATGGGTCCATATTTCCAAAAACCGTTTAGTTAAAATACTTATTTAGAAATGTATTTTTAACCATCAAAAATGCAAATCATTTTAACAGAAAAAAAAAATTTTAACTATACTAATACCTTTAATTCATGATAATCTATTGCTTCATCTTTGTCTGTGTCAAATAGTTCAAAAGCATCTTTAATTTCCTGTTTCTGTTCTTCAGAGAGTTCTCTTCTTTTTTTCCTCTTTGTTTTGTCTACTACAAGCTCATTTCTATGAAATGAAAAGAAATTATTTGGTCCACTTTAATCATATTTTCCTATGCTTCCAAATGATTAAAATAAGATTCCAAAAATGCAACAAAAAAATTAGTCAATGAATAATCTTCTAAAGTTCTAAAAAGGAAGTATTTTGGAGAAAGATAAATTTTCCTTATATGAGTCAAAGCCCTGCTCATTCCAGCCTAAACTGCTATAAATCTGCACTGCCCAAAACTGAAAAGTGTTATAGATTATTAAAGGAAATAAAGACCTAACTTTCCTTCCTCCTAGCTTTGTATTTATTCCCACTGTAGAAGAAACAAGAACTGAGAATAAGAAACATTATTTTTACGTCAGATACCTTAACAAAAAGCACCCATACTTATTATTTACATCATTCTACAATATAAAGTGTTAAAAAAAAGTAAAATAAATAATTGACCATCACTATATAGTTGGTTTACTTTTGATAGTGCTTATAATTAAGTTATCAAAATTGCTACAAAAAAACATATACTTTAAAAATTAACTTCCAAAGTATTCTGGCTTTGAAAGTTAAAAAATGCTTTTAGATCACATGTTTCTAATTGTTTGGGACTTTATAATTTCTTCCGTTGATACTAATAAACCTGCCAAAATACTGACTCCAAAAATATCACGAATATTAAACACCAAAAAAAAGTACATAACATTTGTGCTAATTCTATATAATAATGTGACGAGTCAATGGTCTTGTAAATCTCACTTAACGTGGAAATGCAGATTTCTCATAAATTCTGGAAAAACTTAAAGGAAAAAAAGGAAATTTATTTTAAAAGCCAGAAATCTCTTCCTTAAGAGATGCCGACCTAAGTGTTCCAAATTTTCAAATGGGGCTGCAACATCTGTAACAAGAACAAATTCTGAAAGAAGAATTCTGTAAAACATTCAAATGTAAAACTCAGTTACTTTTATTAGAACAGGTTATCTATTTGCATTTGAAGTTTTGGTCTCTGAAATCTACAAAAAAACCAAAGGCAAGAGACGGCTAGAAATGGGCCAGAAGGGTTATGGTAAAGCTGAGGAAGATCTTTCTTCACATAAGCTTGGACATTCCCGCGGTCAGTCATTCTCTTCCCACAATTCCGGAAGGCCCAGTCCACAACCGACCGACAAATGACCCCATCCAAGGGTACCACGATTATCCCTTAGCAGAACATGGCACCTTTTTAGAGTGGCATAACTACACAGATATTTTCAAGGTAAAATGTCTAGATGGGGCTGGGAGAGGAGCAGAGGCTGGAAGAGAACGAAAGGTAAAGAAACTCAGAAATTTAGGAAATCTAAGGGATTACCAATTAAAGTCACTAAATTATACCGTAAAGCAGGGGGAAGGGACCCCGGACGAAGAGCAAGGAGGGCTTTTATGTTATTTCCAAAATGTACAGGTAAGCACGTGAGCGGCACCGCAGCTGAGGTGGGGGCTACGGACCAGGAGCGAGGAACTGAAGGAAAGGATGCTCCATGGCCTGATTTCTCGCAGAAACACAGCAAGAAGAAACCTCGCGATATTTCGCTTCCTCCTTGCAACTAAAACAGCTCTTTTCGGCGGTCCAAAGCACAACGCGCAGATAGATATGACTACCTCAGCAGAAACGCACGGACCCCACACCTGCGGGACACCAGGGCCTCCAGGGTGAGGGGTCCGGGCCCGGGAAGGTTGGCCGAGGCTCCTTTCCCTGGTCCCAAACTGCCTCCCTTCCACACACACCCGCCCTGGGACCCGCTGCGGGGTGTGGAGAGCATTGCCGCCTCCTCATTACCGACCTCAGAGTTAAACTCATTTTCTCTTCGGACAGAGACGTTTCTCTCAAGAACGACTTTAACCCCCTACCCAAGGCAGCACGACTTCCACACCCGTTCAACAGACACCAACGACCTCGGCGGCCTCAAGGACCTCCCACAAGGTAGTCACTTCTGAGCTGGATTGGTTGAAATCGCTAATGTCCTGCCCATTGAGGCGGAAGCGTCACTATTTTCCTGCTTTCATTGGGCGCTTTTCACGTCAATCAAAGACACCGCTCGGCCGGCGTCTCCGGTTGCCGCTCCCGCCCCTTTGATTGGCCTGTTGCCTTTTCCCCGAATCCTTTGCGGAGCCTGGCTCTGTGGGTCAGAGTCTCTGCGTGGGAGTTCGGTCGGTGGGTGGCTGGCCCTCGCCTCACGCGAGGAGGCCTGCTGCCTGTGGACGACGGTCCGGAGACAAGATGGGCCGCTCCCAGGAAGGGAAGGGAGGGAAAAGAAGAGACACGCCGGGGCCATCTCTCGCTAGTAGCAGGGAGTAGCAAATTTCGAGGTCTACGAAATTCGGCTGTACTGCAGTCTAAAACCTTGGATGGCCTAAGGACACGGGGAGTTTGTTTAAAACGCAGACTGAAATGCCTCTTTCTCCCATTCTGATTCTAGTAGGCCTGAATCTGCATTTTTCCCCCTTACAAACTGTTCCAGTGATGCTGAGGCAGGTGCTGTGGGTTACGTTTGGATAATCACAGAGGTGGATTATTAGGCTATTTACGGTGAAGCTGCGCCTAAGTCGCCCTTCGCTCGCTCTTCCTCCTTTGAACGGATTTGTTCGCTTATGTCTTTTATTTTCCAGTGCTATAAACTGCACGAATATAACACGATGTTATATTCACTACCAAAGCAAGTCTCTTGAAGCTCAGTCGGGTGTTTACTATGTTTACTTGTTCATGTCTTCTATTAGAATGAATTTCTTGAAGGCCAGGACTGTTTCATTTAACGCTGTTCCTCGTGCCTAATACGGTGTCTGATGCATAGGAGCTCAGTAGATGTTTGTCGCATTGAATGGAATGTTGCTGTGAAAACTCGCAAAGTACTGAGCTAAACTGCAAATCTCATAAAGGAAGAAAATAGCCTGAAGGTCGGGGTCGAGCAGGGGAAGGAGAAGATACATGAACACTATGGTATGTGTATAAAGAGAGAGATATACAGGTTTAGAGAAGGGAGAGAACATAGCAGGGTAGAAGGAAGGCTTCTTGAAGGAGATGACATGTGTGTTAGGCCTAAAGGATAAGCTAAATTTCAACTAGTGAAGGCAGGATGATGGAATAAAGCTAAAAATGAATAGCTAAAAGGTAGCCCCCCCCACCAAGAAAAAACAAAAGTGGAAAAGGTAGTCTCATAATCTAATAAACTGGTTCTAGATAATACCAATAAAAGTGACAGCTTTTTGGAAGTGTAACAAGAAAGGGAATATTGCCACTAAGAAGGTTGGTAGTATAAAAATTATTAAAATACTTTATTTAACTTCATGATGCCAATACATATTAATATCAAAATGAAATAGTCACTTCAAGGAAAACAAAGATAAGGACTTACAAAAGATAGAAAAGTGAATTAAGTCAATAACTATAGATAGGACTGAAAAAAATGGTGCCAAAGTTCTGTACCACAAAATAAAAAGGCATCCAGCCCACTCAGATTCATGGGTGAGTTTTAAAAATTCTTGAAGAGCGAACTCTTGTGCTTTAAACTCAAAGCATGTTGGGGAGAGCTTTTTAGCTTAATCTTTGAAGCTAGCACAAAATCATTTAGAAAGCATTTAAAGTCACTGAATGTATGCTCCGTGATGAGAGTGTGTGCATTGTATGTGCGTTGCTCACCATTGTGTGTGCCTGGCTCATATTTTATGTTGATTAGTGAACATAGGTACAATAATCCTAGATGTTGACAAAATCAATTTCGTATTATCTTAAGGGAATATTTCACTATAACCAAATAGAATTTATTTTTAAAGTGCAAAGATAGTTCAAAGTATAAATCTGTATTAATTAATTATGATTCCAGGTTTAAGAGATCATCTCAATGTCCAAAAAGGCACTGAAAATATTCAATACCCATTCCTAATAAAATATATATTAATAAACCAGATATAAAAGGTAATCTTTTTAACTTGAGCAACATACTTAAAATGCCAGTGTTTCTCAAACCTAGTCCCTGAAATGCTAGAATTTTGTGCTTTGTTTACAGTCATTTCACGAAGAATGGATGGGCAAGTATTTGCGGGCAAATAATTTGGGAAAATAGATTTTTAAATATTAAACTAAAATGTTTTCAACAGGATATCTTGTTAAGGGAATGATAGGGAAGTTACATGCATCACTTCTGCTCATATTTTATTAGTGAGAATTAGTGACATGTCCACTCCTTGCTGCAAGTCAGGCTGGGAAAAGAAATCTCTAACCGGAAAATCCTGCACTCTGCTAAAACTTGGGGTCAGATCCTCTATTACTAAAGATAAGATGGGATTAGCAGTTCTGCTGCAGACACCATTAAAGCAGTTATCAACACTATCTTTAAATTTCTAATCAATGATGTAATAAAACAAGAGAAAAAGTGATATATAAAATTAACATTATGTCTGTGTGGATGATATGATTACCTGGAGAAATCCAAGAGTATCAAAGTATTGGAATCGATAAAAGAATTCAGTAAAGTAGCTGATTATCAGAGAAATTTGCAAAATCAGTAAGCATTTACAAAATAAAATTATAATAGCAATACGAAATTCCTTCGAATAAATTTAACAGGAAACCTATAGGTAGAAAATCGCAGAGTATTACTAAAGGACACGAAATTTGAATAAATTGACAAAGAAGCTATACTCCTAGATAGGAAGATTCAGTATTGTAAAAATGTTGATTATATCCTAGATTAATCTGTAAATTTAATATAATCAGAATAAAAATTCTCACATTTTTTTCTTGAATTTAACAAAGTTATTCTAAAGATCATCTCAAGAATAATTGCATAAAAATAACTTAGAAAATTGTGAAAAAGAATAATAACACAAAAATCACACTACAGGATATCAAAATGTATTTGTTACTATGGTAATCAAAATACTAAGTCCAGAGCCAGAACCAAAAGAAGATAAAACTTCTCATTTAAGAAGGTAGTGGGATTAGTAGTTGGTTTAGACTTCCTCCTGAAACCTTAATGAAACAATAGTTGAGAAATTAATTTCTAATACTGATGTGACTTAGACGGCTACCATCAGCAGACAAGATGTTAGAAAAAATATCTGAAAGATCGAAAGAGATAGGTTCACATATCTTTCATCAAAAGAGCTTGTTGACAAATGAGACAGATCATCAAAATGGAGTTTCAAAATTTGCAGGAAGTGAGTAAAGCTTCAGAAAGCGTTTATCTACCTGGCAGAGTCCCAAGAGAGACCTTAGGTACAAAAGGAGTGGAAATGAGAAAAGGGCTAAATACAAAAGCTCAATTTAAAAGCTCTTCAGGAGACCACTGCACTTCAGTTTCTCCAGATTCCCCTCCCCAGTATCCTCTCTCTTCATGTTTATCTCGAACCCCACTCTTAAAAATGAATGAAGGGGCTGGTCCCATTGCTTAGTGGTTAAGTTCAGCATGCTCCACTTCAGTGGCCCAGGTTTAGTTCTGGACACAGACCTACACCACTTGTTCAGCAACTATGATGCGGTGGCAACCCACATACAAAATAGGAGAAGATTGGCACAGATGTTAGCTCAGGGTGAATCTCCCTCAAGCAAAAAAAAAAAAGAGAGAGAGAAAGATTGGCAACAGAAGTTAGCTCAGGGTGAATCTTCCTCAGCAGAAAAAAAAAAAAATGAATCAAAAATCATCAGAGAGGTCCTGGCCTCATGGCCAAATGGTTGGGTTTGTGTGCTCTGCTTCAGTGGCCCAGGGTTCACCAGTTCAGGTTCTGGGCACAGACCTAGCGCCACTCGTCAAGCCATGCTGTGGCAGCATCCCACATAGAACTGGAATGACCTACAACTAGGATATACAACTATGTACTGGGGCTTTGAGGAGGAAAAAGAAAAAAAAATATAACTGTAAACAAAATATCATCAGAGATATAAAGAAAATCAAAAGCATGAAAAATAAAACAAAGAAAACAACTATCTAGGAAGACTCTGAGTCAACTTAGGAACCAAAAGAAATTCGTAATAAATTAAGAATATTAAACTTCCAAAGAGGTCGCCAAGAAAATATTAGAGAACAGGATACTCTGAAAAAGAACATTCTGAGAATAAGAAAAGACTGTTGAAAATAAACATATGATGGCAGAAATTAAAAATTTAATAGAATAGTGAGATAATTTAATTGAAGAAATATTGCAGAACATACAGCATTCAGACAAAAACATGGAAAAATTGAGAAAACATAGAAGATTAATCCAATAGGTCCATGATATGACCAATAGGAATTCCAGAAAGAGAGAGCAACAAATGAGGGAGAGGCAGAAAAATATCAAAGAACTAAGTGAAGAAAAATTTTAAGGAACTGAAGTGTAACCAGTCTCCAGATTGATAGGACACACCGAGTACTGAACAAAATAAATGGTAAAAGAAATCACACCTAGCTACATCAACAAGACATTTCAGGACCTCAAAAAGAAAAAGGTTAGCTTCCACACGCAAGAATCTGATCTCCTATAAAACAAATTAATTGAACTAGCATCAGATTTCTCATTTGAAACATTAGATACCAGAAGATAATACCTTCAAAATTGCAAGGAGAGATTATTTTGAACTTAGAATTCTATTCCCTTTCAAGGCAAAAAATCAAGTGTGAGGACATAAAGATTTCAGAAAATTCAATCATCATATACACTTTCTGAGAGGTGTACATGAGAAAAATAAGAATGAAATACAATATTGTATTTATATTAAGTATATAATTATAATCATTTATATTTTTATATAAATGAGTATAACATAAATATAACATCAATATTATTTTTTTACCACAAGGAAAAAGAAGAACCCTCACTATGAAAACAAGTATAATAAAACCAATAAAGAACAAAAAATGTCAAGGTTAAAAAAATTAAAAGGCAGATAATGAAGCAGGAAAAATATTTACAAAATACATGAAGGACAAGGGGTTATTTTTCATAATATAACTGAAACCTGTTTACT